AATAATTTAAGACATTGCATTTTCTTTTCCTTCCACCCTAATTTTGGCACAGATTCTCCTGGCACAGAATATTAACAACTTCCATTGACTCTTCTATGGCTACACATATCTTGCAGTGGAGAATCTGGACCCTACTGTTTGGTACCAACTTGTTTATAGGTTAAAAACTCAGTTATTGCTTTAACGGTGAATATTAAGTACTTGCTATCTACAACAGGCCTAACCAGACATGTGCAGGTTTTGGAACTTAGTACATCATCTAAAAGGTTACTAGAATTTCCAGCACAAATTCCAATGAATTTTCCCACCTTCATGACCTAATGAAGATTTGAAGAATAAAGTTGAAATTTTCCCTACAAACTTAAAAAATAAATATAATAAGCTATCAATCAACCTACAAACATTCAGTAGAATAATCTCTCTTTTTATTCAATTATAGATAAAATATGTAAGCTTTATGGTCCTGATAGTGCAAACACTTACACACATACTTAACTACTTTGAGTAGCTCCACTGATTTTAGGCTATTCACAGTATAAAGTTCAACATATGTATTAATGTTTGCAGAATCAGTTCCTATGTAAGTATTAAAGTATGTATACAATTCTGGATTGTGAGCTCTCTGTCCTTGGGCTGGATTTTATGCCCTCAAACATGAAGACGCTTGTCAAAATCACTGAGCTGTCTGTAATATAGGAGTGAAAGTTTGTTCCCACAATCTGCACAAATGAAGGACCCACTAGAAGACTCCAAATATGCAATTTTCCTCCGTCTACCTGATTCTGGTGGGGTTCATATCAAACTGCAGCTTCAGTCACCCTCTGATCAGAGAGAGTGCTCTCAATTCCCTTTCTGAAATTCCTGTTGAGCACCATAAGGGGAGAGGCCCCTTTGTTCTCTTTTATTTATAAAAACTAGGTGGTATTATTGTTTTCTTTCTATCTCCCTTCCAGGATGAGCCATCTCTAGCACTCTCATAGATGTTCAGCTTCTGGTTCCTGCCTCCATTGGCACCCATTTCACATGTTGTGCACTGGTATAATCCTCCTTTTTACTGGACTAAGGTATCTGCATGCCATGTGTAGTTTTTAAATTGGGTTGAGGGAGCCAGGATGGAAAGAGTGTAGCTTGAACCTATCAGCCTTTTGACTCATTGTGCCCTCTTTCTGTTGTGCATCCTGGGAATTGTATAAAACATGTAGATGTGCCTGGCTCTTAAATCTCAACTCATTTCTAATTTGTTATTTGGAAAGGCCCTAGATGTGAGGCCAAATTCTACCCTTGTGGTATATGCAGAGCTGAAGTAATATATATTATATTACTTTAAAGTAAAATTTGACCCATAGTGCATAGCATAGATAGATAGATATTGAAATTAATGTGAAAAATTTGTATTTAATTCCTAAAAATTGCATCTAGCCATATGACTTTATTAATCCTTTGAGTACTAGACTAAAGCCCTGATCCTGAAACACTTATACATTTGCTTAATTTTACTACTGAAAGTAGTGAAGTTAAGCATGTGCTAAGGGTTTGCAGGATCAAGATCTCAGGGTACATCAGAATCTGCTCTGATCTCAGGAAGTGAGATGTCTTTGGGATGTGAGGTTATATAGCACACAACAGCAGGGCCATACAAGTGCCATTTCTATCATATATGCTAAACATCCATATAGCCTCAAATGGCTCAAAGTAAATTTAAGGTTTGGACTTAAACTGGCAAAAGCAATTAGCGTGTATGATTTTCATATGTGCTTATTGACCCAACTCTGTTCCCAGTGACATTGATGAGAATTTTACAATTGACTTCAATGGGAGCCATTAAGCCAAGCTGAGTGCATTTAAAAATCCCATCTGTATAACATGTACTGCATTGCACAGGTGGAAACATTTACCATTTTTTTATCCATAGACAGTTCTCCAAAATGCCATCTTGTCTGGGGGGTTCTAAGGCCTTTTGAAACTGAGGTTTGTTTGTTTTTTTAAATGAGAACCCTAATGAATATGGATTGTTAATGTGACTATCTTAACTATTATGGCTTCTGAAGGTTGGAGATTCAGATAAGCAGGCAGAATTTTAAACCTATGGAAGCCTGCCTTCCCCAGTCCCCTGCATTCTACTGATGACTCCCTCAAAAGATTCCCACTACCTGTAGTTGTCTTTGTTCGAAGGAAGCTAACAAACCTGTTTTCTTTGCCTTCCTCCCTCCCTCACACTCTAGAGTCTTCAGTGGTTATTTATCTTCTCAGAGAATGGGGACAGCACAAGCCTATGGGATATCTACTTCATTCTCTCTTTCTAGGGGAATGGTGGGCAGGAGGAAGTAAGGGAGATCTTTTTCTCCTCATGTGGCATGAGCATACCTGCTTGGAGTGGAAAATTGAACAGCCTGTGACCTTTTCATTCTGGCTACTCCCTACACTCTTGTCCGTATTGCCATATAACAAAAACAAAAACGCTCTTGAGGCAGGCAAACAGAAATGCTGAACATACCATTGGACAACCTGGTCCCTTTGCACCTGGAAGAGCTGGTGTTCTCCTCCTTCCTACTCTAAGGCTGGAGTGCTACAGCTGTCTGAGAAGCAGCACCTCCCTGTTGGTTCTGCAACTGCTCTGGCTCTTCCAGTCCACCCCACCCTCCTTGTCTGAGAAGAGAAGATCATGCTGCTGAAACACCTTTCCCAGGCCTGGGCAGGAGGTTTAAAATCTTCTGTGTGCTTCCCTTTCCCCTGCTTCTGAAAGGTAAGGGAAACCTAACATGCTGGGAGAAGGGACAGGGAGGGAAATCAGAAATGCTGTGAGAGGGAATGAATGCTGGCTTCTCTCCAGTCATCTTTTGCTGTAAGTAAATTTGTGATCTGCTGCTTTGTGCCATCTGTACCTTGGTAGGTTTGCAATTGTTTGTACAATGTAGCTCTGTAAAGTTTTCTGACATGTAATACCTCTCATAAAAACTGGGCTACCTTGAATTACCTTGCACTGGAAATGTTGTGTGCTGCCATCAGCTCAGAGCCTTGGAATAAAGGCATTGTAGAAAACTTGTGTTACACTTTCCAGAATGAAACATTGCTCTTGTGAAGAACAAGCTTCATTAAACTCAGTTATGACTTAAAAAAAAAAGCTTAAACAGGCTGAGTTTTTGTACTCTGAGCTCCAGGCTACACCCCTCCCCTTTTACACAGGGCTCACTGTGACAGAGGGCCCTGACCCATTGTTAAAGGGACAGCTCACATTTCTGTGCTTACATAACCAAATAGCTGTTCCCAAAAGCTCAACAGAACTATTCGGACACCATTCAGAGTTACTACTAGACACCTAATAGAAATAATATATTGCTCAATTCATGCTGGGTCCTCCCACGTGTGAGTTCTACCTGAGCCCTTCAAGTACAGAAGACTTTCACAAGACTCAGTAAAATTTTGCCCCACTGCCGATCCGCAGCTGCACGTCCTTTCTCTGCAAGGGGGGTAGCCAAGTGCAAATACCCGGTGCCTGGCTGCGCCCTAGCCAATATGGAAACCACTGTAAAAAGCAACAGAGAGTCCTGTAGCACCTTTAAGACTAACAGATGTATTGGAGCATGCCGACGAAGTGGGCATTCACCCACGAAAGCTTATGCTCCAATACATCTGTTAGTCTTAAAGGTGCTACAAGACTCTGTAGCTTTTTACAGATCCAGACTAACACCGCTACCCAGGGCCGGCTCCAGGGTTTTTGCCGCCCCAAGCGGTGCAAAAAAAAAAAAAAAGTCGCGATCTGCGGCGGCAATTCGGCGGGAGGTCCTTCGCTCCCATCCAGAGTGAGGGACCGTCCACCGAATTGCCGCTGAACAGCTGGACCTGCCGCCCCTCTCCAGCGTGACCGCCGGGAGCACCTGCTTGGCAAGCTTGTGCCTGGAGCCGGCCCTGCGGCTACCCCTCTGATACTGGAATTCACTATGTGCATGTCCTTCCAGCTCTAAACCGCTCCCCCCCACGAAGAGCCCTTACATGCACTGCTGGCTTAGTCTATCTAAGGGCAGAACCCAGCCCTAGGCAGGGGAGACTTGCCGAAAGCCCCAGCACTGGGCTGCGAGAGTGACTGGCTGGAAGGGTACTAGGCGTCAGCACGGGGTGTGCGGTGGGGGAAGGGAGGTAGCTAGAATGGTTTGGGGATAGCTCTGGGCTGCATTTACACCAGAGGGCTTGAGAGGGCGCTGCCGGTCTAGAGTTGGAGAAGCGCTGGGGAAGACCCTGAGAGAAACAGACTGAAGCAGCAGGCCGGCTTCCCAGCGCCCATAGCCACTGACACAGGCACCCGCTGGCGGGGGAGAGCGCAAGAGGCGGCTGAAGCCTGGGGACTTTCCTCTCCCCTACCCCCAAATTCCTAGAAGAAAGTTTACAGACTCCTCCAAAAAAACTCCCCACCCACCCGTGAGCATCCCTCTGCAGCTGCTTCCCGGGTGCAAAGAGACCCAAACCCACCAGCAGACAATGATAGTGTCACGGCTTCACCTCGGCTTCTAATTCCTGCCGGTAGCCACTGCTCTCGGGAGAAGGGGGAACAGGAAAGAGGGGAGCAGCAGCAAGACCAGCTGGGACCCCTAGCGCTGCCGCTTCTCTGCCTTGCACAGATCTCAACGTGTTTCTTCTTCCAAGCCTGGGGATCAAGTTTGGGGCTCTAACAGACGCCCAAACTCCTGCGAGCCGGGGAGACATTTTCCCAGCTGCAGCCCTTCAACCCCTTAGCACCCTGCTCCCTTCCCCGCCCGCAGCACACCCAGAGCCCACGCAGGGCGCTGCATGTTTCCAGCTGGGGCTGTTGCTGCTACCATGCAAACGCGTGGATGACCTACCCCGCTGTCCCTCTCCGGCCCCGCCTCTGTTCCGGCAGTCCCGGGCCCTTGGCTCCTGTCGCTGGAGGAGCCCGGCGGCGCAGCTGACTGGGTCACTGCCTCAGGCGGGTCTGCTCCAGGGCGTGGAAGTTGGGGCTGGTTTGGAGCGAGGGGGGCGCAGGAGGCAGGTGTGGGCACAGACAGACGGGGAAGGGGGGGAAGAGAGGACCGGCAACAGCTAGTGGTAGGAGGGGACGAAAACCCCTCTGAGTGCCCGGGGTACAGAGGAAATCTGCTCCCCTTGCTTCGGAGAGCTCCGGGCTGGGGAGGGAGACAAGCCCGAAGGGCGGTATCCGAGGAGCCCAGCGGGTGTCTCTCACACACACCGGGAAAACAAAACCCGTTAGAAACAAGAAGACAGCGGGGTGAGGCGAGTAACCTGCTGCAGCTCAGCTCATCCACCGCGAAGACAAATTGTAGCGGCCGCCGCTCGTGAATGCACCGGGCTGGCGGGCCGCCTTCGCCACCCAAACAAACCCTCAGCAGCGCCGCGTGCGGCTCCCTCGCCGACTCCTGCCTTTCTGGCGCCCGGCGACCTCGCCTCCTCCGCGGCTCCCCAAGCCACCCGGCGTCACAGTGCCATCCCAGGCACGAGAAAGTTAGGAGTGGAGTGAGCGTGGGGGCTGAAGAAGAGACTCCCCCTCCCCAGGACTGCGCGGGGAAGGTGGGATTAAAGGCGGAAAAGGAGGAGAGGGAGGGTGGAAAACTGTTGAATTTCTGGGTTTGCGCTAGCGACGCGTCTTGGTCATCCTCGCAGAGGTGAAGGAGAAGCGGGGAAAGTAACTCGGGGAAGTGACCGGGATTATTTTTTAATCCGAGAGGAGTCTTTTGAAAAAGAAAAGCAACAATTTGCACGCCCTGAAGAGCGAGCTAGTGGGAAGCCTTGCACAGACACATGCTGCTCGGAGAGCGGGCAGGATCGTACTCTTCCTCAAGTCAACAGGGTACTTACTACGTTTAAAAAAAAAGCACATAGTAAACAGAGACGCGTCATGCAACAGAAAAAAAGGAAGATGGGAATGAAGGAAAAAGGAAACTAAAATCAGGAGGAGGCGGAGAAAACACAGTGACAGCAAATTACTTCCAACAGAGAGTGTATGTCTGCCGTGACCCGGGATTTTAGGGGGTGCGCCCTTACGAATCACCCCTTTCTCCAACCCAAGTCTCTCTTCTCCACTGACACAGGCTCCTCTGCTTGGTTGTAGGAGAGACGAAGGAATAAGAGGATTCGTTCAGCAGCGCCTGCGATTTGCGGCTGCTGCTTCTTTGGAGATTTGTTTTGTTCCTGGGGGATGTTGGTTTCCAGACCTTGACTTGTGCATGTTGCTCTTTTAATTTGATCGCAGATTTTGGTCTGCTGGTTGCTTGTTTTGCAAGAGAAGGAAAGGGGAGCCTGGCTTCGGTGTTAAAAGTTGCAGTTATTATTTTGCAGCTAACATGTGCACCAACATAGTCTATGAGTGGCTGAAGACCCTGCAGCTTTCCCAGTACGCGGAGTCCTTCGTAGATAATGGCTATGATGACCTGGAAGTTTGCAAGCAAATAGGGGACCCAGACCTGGATGCCATTGGGGTGTTGGTGCCCCACCACAGGCGCCGAATTCTTGAAGCAGTGATGAGGTTGAAAGAGGAGGATGAGACCGCTGCTGGTCTCTATTTCACCTTGGAGCCTCAGCAGCAGCAGGGCTCGCCCTCTCCCTCCCCAGAGATCTACACTAGCCACCTGGTGGAGCAGTATGAGGCTAAGGCTTGGAGGGAGCCTAGCCCTCGCCATCGTCAGGGGACCCCCAGGAGCCAGAAACTTGGGCCCCGCAACAGGGAGCTGGTGATTTACCCAAAACTGAAACTGAAAATCATGATTAGGGATAAACTCATCCGGGATGGGATCAACCTGAGCAAGCCCCCTTACTCCAACAAGGTAAGGGAATCCTGTATCTTTCCCTTCTCCCTACCCCTTGCATCAGTAATTCGTCTCAGCTTGGGTGCATCGGGGTCAGGAGTCCTAAACTGTTGTAGGAGCTAAACGTATTCCCCGTATTTAGGCAGTGGAATTAGAGAGTTAGGTGCCAATATTGATTAACTCTGTTTGGATCCAGGTACCAAATCTGCTTGAGTTACCTTCGTTTGTAGTTGGGATTTCTGGGCACAATAAGAGTGGATAAACCTGTTCACTGCCTAAATACAGGAACTTAAAGCAGTGGGGCCAAAAATTGGCTGGTTCTAGCAGGATCCAAATGCTTAATTTAGGTTTCTGTGGTGCTGTTGTGGTGGGATGTATTGAGATCTTGGTTTAGTTTATTTATTTATTCTCTGTGGTAAAAGTGGCTAGACTAGTTCTCTAGTAAAGTTTGGGGCTTGAGTTCAAAAATAGGCATAATCCAGTTTTATCCTCTATTTTCCCAACCATTATATATGGGAATTATAGGGATCATCCATATTGGTGAAGGTAATTTTTTGGTGTCTGTTTCTGTTGGTTAATATTTTATGAAACGCCGTGTAAGGATGCTAGAAAATAATTCCTTCTGTTAACTTTCTTGCTAACTAGAGAGTGGTATGATTATTCATCAACCATTCCAGGAGTAATTTAGTCTGTGCACAGGGGGCTAACTCTATTTGAAAGGATAGAAAAGTACGGGTCTTGGAAAAGTACATTCCAATTTGGTGAAATCGCATTCTGTGAAAACTGTGGCTGTAACCCACTCAAGTTCCTTGAAAAAGTTAAAATATTAAAGGAAGGTGAGTTGGCAGATATAAATTACTTGGATTGCATAAAGCCTTTGATAGTCTGTACTGAAAATATGATAAGAAAAATAAATACTCATGTAGTTAAGTGAAAGGTCATTCCATTGTTTTCTTTCACTGAACCAGTTTTTTAATCTAAGTGTTGTGATGTATGTTTACTTCACAGTTAAGAGAAAGGTCAGTGGTGAGTGCCTCGGGGAATGTATTTGGACCAGTGCTAGTAAATATCTTATTTAATGATTTCGGTTCTAATTTTCAGAAATATTGAGCACTTGCAATTCACATTTACTTCTGTTAGAGTTGTGGGTGCTCAGTGCCTCTGAAAAGCCTTTATTGGAAAAAAAACCTGGCAGCTAGTTGTTGAAGCTTGCTGAAGAGTCTAAATTGGTTTGGTTAGTGAAAGCTATTAAGGATTGTGAAAAGCAACAGAGGGTCCTGTAGCACCTTTAAGACTAACAGAAGTATTGGGAGCATAAGCTTTCATGGGTAAGCTCTCTATGAATGTAACTGCCACTGGGGCATTGGACATTAGGATGCTAAGTGAGACTCAACTATGGTAAGTGTAGGCTAATGCACACGATTAAAAATAATCTAAACTTCTCATATACATTGATGGACTCTGAGCTTGTGGTATTCTGTGGGTGGAAAAGACTTCACAGATGTCAAAGATAGCTCAATGAAGATGTTTGGCAAGTATGCAGCAGAACCAGTTAAAAAGCGAACAGGATGTCTAGTGAAGTGAGGTTCTTACCCACGAAAGCTTATGCTCCCAATACATCTGTTAGTCTTAAAGGTGCCACAGGACCCTCTGTTGCTTTTTACAGATTCAGACTAACACGGCTACCCCTCTGATAGGATGTCTTTATTACATTTAAAAAGGAGTAGAAAATGTAATACTATATCTAACAGTATACACCCTCATGTGAAGAACTGTGTCAAGACTGGGTCACCTCATACTAAAATTTAGTTGAAATTGAAAGGCTCCAACTCACCTTCCTTTAATATTTTAACTTTTTCAAGGAACTTGAGCAGGTTACAGCCACAGTTTTCACGGTGATCAGAGATGTGTCACAATTTACAGATGAATGGAGATAGCTAAAACTAGACTGGAAAGAAGAGTTACTAGAAAGGAAACTTGGTATTCTGGTGTAAAAGGATGACTTTATGACCATTAAGTTGCAGTTATACATGCTAAGACTGAAAGGATCTTAAGCTTCAGGACTTAAATTGATCACTTGCTGGGGTCTGGAAGGAAGGCCTCTCCTTGTTTTTCCCATGTATAGTATTGAACAGTTGGCTAGCTCTATTGTGGTGTTGGCTTATTTTTATTCACCTTCTTCTGAAACATCAGGTATTGGCCGCTCCTTGAGGCAGCATATCAAATTTGATGGACCAATGGTATGATCTGACATGGCAAAGCCTATATGAATTCTTGTATCGTGTGTAAATACATCATCTTCTGAAAACTTATTAACTGTGATTTGGGATGAGAGTGATTTTTCTCTCATAAATTATGATTTGCCTGACTCTTCTTGTTTTCTAAACTGCCATCAAAGGTCGGTCTCTCTCTCTCTCTCTCTCTTTTTCTTAATCCTTCACTTGAATCTAGAACTTTTAAATAGTTGTCACAGAAAGTGTCACTGGAGCTGCATGCTGTCCATTTCCGTGATTATATTTGATCTTTACGAGCAGACAACATTTTCCCAATGTTCTATCTTCATATTATGTGGCCCATTTCTTACAAATAGAGCTTTTACTATATCTGTGTTGTTGGAACATTAAAATACTAAGATACTAACACACACACAGCATCAAGGAAGTTCAAACCAATGGTTGCTGTTTCTTCTTTCATTCTCTCTTTATTTATGTGTGATGGGGTGCAGGTTAACTACTTGAGACCAAACCCTGCTCACCTTGTGCAAGTAGTATCATTGACTTTAATGGGAATACTTGTATAGTTGTATGATTAAATTGGTAGGGTTTTAGCCTCAAATGCAACATACTGAAGTATAAAGTGGTAGGTGATGAACAGAATGACAGCCTTAAGTTTAAATTTCCTAGATTTACGTCAGCTTGTCTCCCAACTTATTTACTCTTGGATGATATTTTTAGACTAGGAAAAGCCTCTTGGTTTTATAAATCCTCTTCATTAACCAGTTCATATCATATAATGTTAAAAGAAAGTATAGCATTGGCATGATTTAAGTGTATGTTATTCAACATGTTCCAAGTGTCATACAATCAGTCTTCACTATTCCCTTTGAGCCATTTGAAAAAAATCACGTTGTGGTGTATTACTCTGAACAACACCCATTGAATATCAGAAAATAATATGCTGCATCATACCTAATGTGGAAAATGGACTACTTATGACAGTAATTTTTTTTGGAAGTTTATTACTTTAGAAGAAGAAAATCTGATGTGCCTTTAGTAAAATTTGTGCTATATTTTTTGTAGATGATATATACAGTCTGCATTTCAGAAGAAATTGCAAGTATCATCTTCTAAGCTAAGCATACATTTTGCTGAATGAGTAATAAAACACAACTTTTCAAGGTTTACTGCTTATTTATTGCATATATTCATCAAAAGGTGTGCCAATCTATGAGTAAATATGACCTGGTGGGTAGGGCACTGGCCTTCAGACAATTTGAAGTCTCTTCACAGCTCTCCCATTGTTCTGCTATGTGACATTGTGCGAGTCACTTCCTCTTGGTTTACCCAATTGTAAATGGAGGATAAAATATACTTACCTTTCCTAAGTGTTTTGTCATCTGTGGATGAAAAATGCTATATAAGAATATATTTATATTTTGGATTTCTATTTGTTTCCTGAGAATACCTACTGCCTCCATTAAAAATGTTTTAGGAGGACCAAACATCAAATTTTATGCAGGCTGTTTTATAGGATTTTATTTTTAAATGTCTCTGGGAACTGGAAACACTACCACCACCTCTAGTTTGTGTCCTTTAGCTTTTTTAGTGAACTGTGGACTTGGAAGACCCAAATTGAATATATATCTTATATGGCAATGTAGAGATGAGGGACTGTAAAGCCATCACTTGTGATATTTTTGTTTTTGTGTTTCAGGTGAAGTATGTATCTGCACATCAGTAGAGATAAAGAATCTGGATGGTATTTCTTTTGAATCTGAACAAACAAAATTAGCCTCAAATTAAAAGTAGCAGTCATGACTACTTGACATAATTTAATATGACTTGCTTTAAGAAGAGTGAATTTTGAATTCAAGCCATCTGCCTAGGGTGATTTCAGACATGCAGGTCTATCACTAACCATATTGTGGATTTACATGGGAGTTAGAGCAAGGAAGCACTTTTTCTAATTATTTCTTTATTTTTCAGAGATAAACTAACTGAGGAAAACTTCATAGAAGTAAAATTTTTGCTCTTGCTAATAATGCTCTTGAATTTTGAAGGCTACCTATTTTATTTTCAAGTCCCCTGTATCTGACTGATCACGTTCAGAAGTCACAAGTATCAGTGAGATTCTTAAAGAGGTGGTGGATTTCTAGTTTACAGCTGGGGCCCAATCCTGCAGCTACTTATACATGGAAACCTCACTGAGATCAATGGGGGTTTCCATGTATGGAGTAGCTGCCAAGTAGGGCAGTTGATTTGTGTGAAAACATGTCACTGATTTAAAAAAAAAATCTGAGAAATCTTTCTCTTCACAGAATTCACAACTGCAGTTTTTAATTATTTTTGTTTTGATTGATGAGGGAATTACATGTGATACAAAGCAACTATTGGGAGATGGCTCTAATAGTGAAAAGGAGCCCTAATGAATTGAAGCCCTGGAATCCATTACAGATTCATGAAATGAAGCTTGTTACTGACTTAACTTGCCTACCTTACAGGACTCAAAAAACCAGAAGCAGGCTCTGCAAGGAATCTGCCTTATGAAAGACAGGAAGGAAAAGTACAAAGTCCTTTTTTGAGGAGATGAAGGGGAGACGAATATCTTCTCTGGGGAGAGGGAAGAGTGCTAGCAACAACTAAATGAGATTAAATAAAGAAGATAGGACCTTTGCTTCATTAAACGCTTTTGGTGATATCAGTGCAAACCAGACTATTTCAACACTGTGTTTTGAGGAGTAGATTCATAGATTCTAGGACTGGAAGGGACCTCGAGAGGTCATCGAGTCCAGTCCCCTG